TTCTATGGAACATGTGGATTCACTTAAGATTTTTACTTCATTTGATTCTACATTTTCTTTCACACATAGTGCCACTCCCCCACCCCTACCCCCGCACGACCTGTTCTGTCCTTCTGATACATTTTGTACCCCGGAATGATTGTGTCCTATTGATTGCTCTCAGTCCACCAGGTTTCTGTGATGACTATTATAACAATATCCTCCTTTATCACAATGCACTCTAGTTCACCCATTTTATTATTTAGACTTCTAGCATTTGTGTACAAGCACTTTAAAAACGTGTCACTGTTTATTTGTCTGCCCTTTTCTGATGTGTCAGATTCTTTTTTATGTGAATGTTTATCATCTGATCTGGCCCTTACGTTATCCTCTTCCATCCTCTGCTCCTGACTAAAACCTGGAGATTCTCTATCATTAGACTCTCCCCTAAGAGAAGTCTCTGTCCGATCCACATGCTCCTCTGCAGCAGTCGGCTTTCCCCCATCTCCTAGTTTAAGAACTGCTCTACAACCTTTTTAATGTTTAGTGCCAGCAGCTTGGTTCCACTTTGGTTTAGGTGGAGCCCATCTCTCCTGTATAGGCTCCCCCCATCCGAAAAGTTTCCCCAGTTCCTAATGAATGTAAACCCCTCCTCTCTACACCATCGTCTCATTGAGACTCTGAAGCTCTGCCTGCCTACCTGGCCCTGCGCGTGGAACTGCGAGCATTTCTGAGAATGCCACCATTGAAATCCAGGACCTCTGTCTCTTCCCTAGCAGCCTAAATTTGGCCTCCAGGACATCTCTCCTACCCTTCCCTATGTCATTGGTACCTACATGTACCACGACCACCGGCTCCTCCCCAGCACTACACATAAGTCTGTCTAGATGCCTCGAGAGATCCGCAACCTTCGCACCAGGCAGGCAAGTCACCATACGGTTCTCCCAGTCATCACAAACCCAGTTATCTACGTTTCTAATGATCGAATCTCCCATTACTAACACCTGCCTTTTCCTAGCAATTGGAGTTCCCTCCAGTTTTTTATTATTTTCTTCTCTGCAGTCTGGACCTTGACGATACCTTGTCCAAGAAATTTGGACCTTGACAAAAAACAAATTGACTACCCCCTGCTATACTCAAACACTAATTTTGGGGAGGATACAATGTATTTTTCATACACAACTATGAGGATGAATCCCTGCTTTATGTGTAAAACTCAGCTCAGCCTTAACTACTGGAGGCACAACTGGCATCCCATAATTATTTGGCAACATCCAAGTGTGCTAGGCATTTCACAGAAGAAACAGGAACGTGGGCACTCTGACAACACTGCAGCCTAAATTTAAATGTGACATAAGAAGCGTGACAAACTGAAGGGGAGTCATTGGGTGAAGCACAATCTGTAACCCACTAACACCCAGCTGCTTTTCGCCCCACTCCTCCTTTCCTTCCCTCCCTATGACCACTCCAGCTTGAATGGTCCCTTGAAATGTGTGTTAACTACTTATTCTAAACAAGCTGTTCAAATGTTGTATTTAGCAGAGAAACTGAGGGCTTGTCTACTTTACAAAATTAGGTCGATTTAAGTTAGATTGACCTCCAGCCACCACAGCAATTAAATCAGGGGCTGGTGTCCACACTAGCCTCCTTCTGCTGGTGCTCCACATCCTCACCAGGATTGTTTGCATCGACTATAGTAGGGCATTGGGGAGCACTGACAACAGCACGGGGCTCACAGCTGGAGTCCCCCTGCCCCGGGACTGACAGCCAGAGAAAAGTGAAATAATAGTAGCTCTGAAACTGTGGTGAAATTGAGTCCTGCACTGGGCTGTCAGCCCTAGGGTGGGAAGCAGGGGGAGAAGCTCCTGTTGTGAGCCCCATGCCGGGCTGACAGCTCGAGCCATCAGCACTGGAGGGGAAGGCAGCTGTAAGCCCTGCGCCTGGTTGACAGCTCGGGCTGTCAGCGCAGGGGCAGAGCTTCAGCTGTCAGCCCCACACAAGGCTGACAGTCAGATGATGTAAGTAACGCAGTGTCCACATGGAGACTGTGTTGCCCTAACTACATCAACCTAAGCACTATGTCTCTCACGGAGGTGGAGTTAAGTTAATGTACTGGGCGACTTATATTGGCAAGAGCACCACTGTAGTGTAGACACTAACAGAGTTAGGTCAATGTAAGCTGCCTTACGTCGACCTAACTCTATGGTGTAAGCTGCCTTACGTCGAAAACTAACTCGGGCCCAGATCTGAAGAAGACCTCGGGGTAAGCTTGTCCCTCTCACCAACAGAAATTGGTCCAATAAAAGATATTACCTCACCCACCTTGATTCTCTATTATCCTGGGACCAACGCAGCTACAACACCACTGCATACAGCAAAACAATGAATACAGATCTGACAGGGGAAAAGACGTGGGTATAGACAAAAGCAAGTGGTCTTCAGACTGCGGTGAACTCAATTTTACAGTTTTTTGTTTTGTCTTTTTTAATTCTGACCCACAAACATCCTTTGGTTTTTAGTATATTAAAAGAAATGGCAAGCAGTATCCACTTTAAACACCTCTTCTCCCATTTACATTTGCCAGCTTAAAAAAAAAAAAAAATCAAATATGCAGCATAACCTTAAAGAACATGAAAAAGACAAAGTTACTCACCCTATGCAGTAACTGTGGTTCTTCAAGATGTGTCCCCCTATGGGCGCTCTACTCTAGGTGCGTTTGTGCTCCATGCACCTCAGACTGGAGATTTATAGGTAACAGTGTCCATTGTAGCAGTGTCCATTGGGCCCACACACCCCCTGCAGCCTTGTGCCTTACACTGAGGCTGTATAGAGCTGCATGGGTGAACCGCCCTCAGTTCCTTCTCTGCCGTGGAACCAGTTGTAAAGAACTATGAAGCAGAGGGGAGGAGGGCGAGTAGTGGAAAACCCATAGGGGGACATCTTGAAAAACCACAATTATTGCACAGGGTGAGTAACCTTCCCTTCTTCAAGTAGGAACTATGGGTGCTCCACTCTAGGTGACTATTGAGCATTACTATCTACAGAGGGATGGGGCTTCGGAGTGGAGTCTAGGATCGAAGACAGACCAGTAGAGCCAAATATGGCATCAGAAGCTCAGGCATGAGTGATAGCACAGTGTTCAGCAAACATATGAATGGATGTCCAAGTCATGGCTCTACATATTTCTGCAATGGGAAAGTTCTTAAGAAAAGGCTATTGAAGAAGAGTGAGTAAATACTCTATGGAAGCTGAAGATCATGAGACTGATAGCAGTAGGTAATGCAGCCAGATATCCACCTAGAGAGTCTTTGCTTGGAAATCAGAGATCTCTTAGTTCTCTGCAATGGAGAGAAATAATCTGGGAGATTTCCTACAGGGCTTAGTCCTGTCTAAATCAGGAGGGTATTAGACTTTTACATCAAGTGTATGTAATGTATTTTCTCCTTTACAAAAACCAGCGTGACTTAGGGAAGAAAACTGGAAGGTGGATAGGTTGACATGTGGCAGTCCGAAGATACCTTTGGCAGGACTTGGGATATAGTCACTGCGTGACCTTATTCTTAATGATTTTTTTTTTTTTTAAATATGGAGATATACCTATCTCATAGAACTGGAAGGGACCTTGAAAGGTCATCAAGACCAGTCCCCTGCCTTCACAGCAGGACCAAATACCATCCCTGACAGATTTTTGCCCCAGATGCCTAGATGGCCCCTTCAACCCTGGGCTTAGCAGGCCAATGCTCAGCCCACTGAGCTATCCCTCCCCCCAGATGACTGTGAAGGAGGTGGGGGTGGGGGAGGAGAGTGATGCTATTAGACACCCTACCTCACCCACTCTTCAAGAAGTACTAATGGCACTACAAAAGCAGATTTCATAAACAGGAGTAAAAGAACCAAGACTTATTGTATGAGAAACCTAAGAGAGCGACTTCTGGATGGAAGTCAATCTCTAGTTCTCAGTGGAAGCACATGGGGTGTGTTATTTCTACTCACATAACATCCAACTCTGAAGAAGTATATTTATGGAGAACCCTATGATTCATCCTGATCATCCAGGAAGCAAGGGACATTTGTCTTGTCACCCTCACATCCTAAGGTCTCCTCAAGATAAAGACAGGGTACTGAATAAGATATAACAAGCCCCTACCCTTAAACCAAAACCCACTACAAAGGTAGGAGCCCATTTCCCAAGCACATAGCTCAGCAGCGTGAATGTCCTATGGCTTATCCACATTAAAAGTACCTCTTGTCTCTTTGGAACTGCTGTTAAATGAGAAAGGGCAGTCAAGTAACCCACCATAGGATCTGCTGTCTGTGTAACATACAGCCTATAAGCAAAGGACCTAGGAAACAACAGTCTATTTGAGGGCTCTTAAAAGCCCGGGGTGGGGGCACCAAGAGGACTGAGACAAGCAACAGAAAGAGAGATACTCCACCATAAGCAAGATTACAGTGTGTGCTTCAGAGAGGCTCTAACACTCCACCTGAGGCATCCAGGCAGTGTGACAAAGCTTTGGAGAAGGCAACTGATAAGAGGCGCATCATCAACAAAAAATGTGCCAAAGCCTCACCCATTTACTGAGCTTGAAATTATTTTCAAAAGTTAAGTATAAAATAAAAATTGGAACTGCATAAGAGTTTTCATTAAGACTCCTTTTACACACCAGGCACAGCACGATAGAATAATCAGACACAACAAGAGCTGAAAAGCTTCTACCACATCCATAGAAACTGAGGAGAGGCACTTACTGCCTATGGCAAATCTACACAGGCTGATTCATGCTCCTGGCCGGTAAGCATTCTAAAAACTCAAAATTTTGAACTAAATTAAATATGAACTGTCAAATGTCAGAGACAAGATCCACAGAATAAGACCGTGCTGCACAACGTATCTTTGTAGAAAGAAAAAAGTCACTGTTTCAATTGGGGGGGGGGGGGGCGGAGGTTTTGTAACCCTATACATTTTATGGATTTAAATATCTGACTAACTAATAAAGGGGCTGTAGGCTTGTAATCCTTACCTCTGAAGCAGTAGCGGCAATATTAACATTGCTCGACTGCCCATTCATTAGCTCCATACTGCCCACACCATTGATCTTCTGCCCTACATTTACAGCAGCAGGGTAGTCACTTCATTTCCAAGGCAACAGAGTAATCATTCCTACAAGAAAATGAAAGCAAGTCAGAAATTGTATTCTTATAATAATGCTGCTTGTTGTTTTCATTTCTGCACAGAAAAACTGTTTGGTAAGGAAAAATATTTTGGGACCGTCAATGCAATAAAATTATTTATTTATATATGAATGCTACTGATACAATAAAGGTTTGTTATATTTTCAATTTCATGAAATATTAGTGCCCCCTAGTGCTGAGAAACAGATCCTAGCTTAATTTTTACTGGTATCTACATTTGTATTTAATCAGAGTACAGATTAAATACATTTCCTGAATTTGCTAATTATGAATTATGACTTTTATATTTTAAAGTCAAGTCAGAACTGTGTCAGGGCTGCAATTAACTGGAAAACAGACGGTTTAACGTAACTATAAACAATCCGATAGGACTTTAAAATGTTTAACATTAAAACTGCAATAAAAGGCCACAAGACATAGACACAAAATAAAGTTAATTCATTCCATGGAATTTTTTCCAAAAACACACTCGTAAACATGTATAGATGAGTTTTAAATTACTTGCAGTAATCTTCATTAGTACATCTGACAAATATGTAATCCTAAAGAGCAAGAGATTGCAAGAACAAAAATTTAAGTAATTCAACATGCCCAGGAGTAATCTGATAATTAAAAGATCATTGCAGGAAAGAAAAAAAAAAAAAGAAAAAAAAAATGAGGAGGATTTGAAATATAGGCCCACATCCTGAGGCTTTCAAGATCTTTCTGCTCTCCACCAATCCTTGCCTGATCTATGCTGAGCTGGTCCACTGATGCAATTTAGAGCAGCCATGCAACTGCAAGTAGTTTAGACAGCAGCAACCCATCAACAGTGGTTATATGCCAACTCTGTTCACACATATCAGTTGCACAAAAGCAGTCAATGATGTACTTGGATGGTCTCAACTCTGTCCAGTATAAACCCAAACACAGTAGCTACAATCCACAGAGCAATAATGAGGGACAAAAGATATGTTTAATAAACATTTTATCAGCATTTACAAAAAACTTTAAATATAAAAAAAAAGTTTAGTTTAAATATATTCTTGTTTAGTTTTCCCCTCCAGAGGCTTTACATGAACAACAAAACAAAACAAAAAAAGACGGACAAATTAAGCAGCCACTATGCAATTACAACCTGTGAATGTGCTTGTTTTACTACTTGTTGGCACAATAATCCAGTAGCTGCTTTGATGCACATCTCCCACATTCCTGAATTCTGAAAAGGAAAACAGAGGGGCATTAGTGAAGAGATACAGTCAGGCAATTCCCCAATCCTCATGTCCCCAGATTAATCTCAGATCTCAAATTACCTCCTCATGGTGCTCCAGCACCCAGTGATTTCCCCACTTCCATCGCGTGAAGACTGGTACATCCCTTGGACCCCACTGCATCAGATGAGATTTAAGACAGAAGTGTCAAGGAGCACGTCTTCACTCTGGACATGAACCACTCCTGTTCTCTGAATCCTACAAGGAACCATGAGAGAAGAAAATTATTAGCTCAGCTTCAAAAAACCCACTCACAACAAAACAGGAAAACAAAATGCAACTTTAAACTTAAAAATGAATTACAGTAATAAACAAGTTCCTTACCTCCTTAACCACCACCATTCAAAAGTAGCAGTGCTCAAAGTTGACTCTGACCTCAGGCCAAGAGTTAATCGGTAGTGGGTGCAGCAGGAGGCGATAGCTTTCTGCCATAGTATCTGCACGCAGTCATGCAAGGAAGCAGCCCCTGCCTCTCACAATGCATGCATGGATCCACCAGAAGGATAGGACTATTTAAAGCAGCAAGTTTAATGAATTAAAAACAAACAGTTGGACACATGTTTCAGGGAGCTGTGACTGCAATTGTCGGATAAGGGCTTTCTATTGAAAAATGTGTGATTTCCCTCACACAACTTCAGGGATCATTTGTCTTTTTAAAAAAAAGTTATGAGACACAACAAATACAATACTATAATCAGATAGCTTTTCTGCACAAGAGCAGAATCAACTAAAAAGTTTTCTATTCATGACCTTTGTCCACAAAAGTTTGGGTTTCTAAAAAGCCTCTCATTTTTTCAGGATCACCCACCAGCCTATTTGATTTCTTCGTACCTTCTGTTTTGTGATTCTTTGTGAAGGAGGTTACGTTAAAAAAAAATTATTTTATTTTACTGCCTTAGCTATTATTTTTCAATTAAACAAGAACAGACTGAAACCATGATGTAGTATCTTCTATATAAGCACTAGAGGAAAACACTACTTAAAAACATTCAAGGAACCTTGCTGAGCCCTGGTTTACACTACAACTTGTGTCAGTATAACTACGTTGCTCAGGGGTGTGGAAAATCCACACCCCTGAGCAACATAGTTATAGTGACCTAACCCCAGCATCGACAGCGCTATGTTAAAGGGAGGGCTTCTCCTGTCAACATAGCTACCACCTCTTGGGGAAGTGGAGTACCTACGCCGATGGGAGAAGCTCTCCTTTTAGCATGGAGTGTCTTCAGTAACCAGTGCAGCTGTGCCACTGCACCGGTGCAGCTGTAAGCATAGACAAGCTCTGAGTTTATTATAGCGGACTGTCAGGCCTGCTATAGCTAAGGGCAAGACCAGCTTTCTATTTAAAGCTCAACTCTTCTACATGCTCCCGCACGGTTACTCAGATTGCCTTGAAATTTGGTGTGCCTCATATGGGCACAGGGTACAGTTAGGGAGCCAAATTTGAGGTATTTTGACCAAGGGGTTCCCAAGATACAGCAATCTGAAAAAACAGTTCTCTTAAGGCTGATGTATTTTTTTGCCCAGACCTGGGGATCAAACCAGTGCTCCGATCCTGTAACAGGGGTCTTAATCGCTCAAGAGTTACCCCCAACTAGTGTCTGCCCCATTGCCCCTTTAGGGGAGCAAAATTCAGAACTGTATTCACCAAAGAATTTAGCTTTCATTTCAGGCGCGTGCCTAATGGTCACAAGGTACACAGAGCATGCACGCATGCATGAACAGAGGAACCAAGAGCCCATATTTGGGGGACCTTGACCTTCTGAAGGGGTCTATGCCAGTCTCTCCCTGCTCTATGCGTGAGCTGACATCTCGGGTTCAAGCTCTGTGGCCCTGCTGCTTGGGGTGGGGAGCTGAGAACAGACATGCTAGGAGCATGCACCAAGAACACACTGCTGAGACTGGAGGAGGTGGGGAGAACAGGTATGATTTAGACACATCACAGGTTTCTCAAACACTGGGGAAGGGGGATGGAACACCCACTGAGATGAATGGAGCAGTTCACATGTCAGAGCTATTGTTTCAGGCTGTACTCATCTCTAAGGGGTGCTCTCATTAGCTGAGACCATCATATTGAGATGAATGGCCCACTTCACACCTCTTAGAGCCTCCTGTATTTCAGGATTATCCTGTGCTGGGAATCAGGATATAGCAAAGCAGTTGCTGATGATTAACTTCATACAATATTAAAGCAGAGAGCTAGCTCTACTACAGCTGAGGTTGACAAGACTTTTCTATTTAAAGAACAATTATTCTAAATGTTCTAGAATCGTGGGGGCATGGAACAGCATTAGTGATCCAAATCATGTGGCCTAGAGGAAAGAACAGCAGACTGGAATTTATGTCTACACTTCGGACCTTACAGCAGCACAGCCATAGATGCCGACTTCCCCGCTTTTCCCTGGGTGCTCGACCCCCCACCCCCACCCCTGCCCCCATTCCACCCCTTCCATGAGGCTCCACCCCTGCCCCAACTCTTCCCACCCTTGCCCGACCCCTATTCCAACTCCTTCCCCAAATCCCCACCACGGCCCCGCCTCCTCCCCTGAGCACACCACATTCCCGCTCCCCCCCCCCCCCCCCCCCCCGTCTTTTCACCCCCCCCCCACCCCTTGTTGCGGGCGCGGGGGGGGGGGGGGGGGGGCGGGGGCGCCGGGGGGGCGGGGGGGGGGGGGAAGGCTGGCTGTCGGTGGGTGCAGAGCGCCCACTAATTTTTCCCCATGGGTGCTCCAGCCCTGGAGCACCAATGCAGTCGGCGCCTATGAGCACAGCTGCACTGCTGAAAGCTCTCCTGTGTAGCTGCTGTATGCCAGTAGGAGAGCTCTCCGGGAGGCATAATTAAACCACCCCCAATGAGCAGCAGTAGCTATACTGTCAGAAAAGCATCTCCCACCGATATAGCACTGTCCCCACCAGCGCTTTTGTCTGTGAAGGGCACGAGATACCTTAACTCTGCATTATTGAAGGTTGGTTTTTTTGGTCAGTGAATACTTTTAAGTGTGACTAGATTATTTATTTAAAAAAACCCTTTAACTCTTAGGCTATGTCTACACTAGCACTTCTTCGGTAAAATTTGTGTCAGTCAGGAGTGTTAAAAAACCACACTCCTGACTGACATAATTTGCACCAACAGAAGCGCCAGTGTGGATAGTGCTATGTCAGCAGGAGATGCTCTCCCATTGACACAACTACTGCCTCTCATTGGGGGTGGTTTAATTATGCCAGTGGGAGAGCTCTCTCCTAGCGGCATAGAGAGTCTACACAGGAGACCTTGCAGTGGCTCAGCTGCAACGGTACAGCTGTGCCGCTGTAAGATTTCTAGTGCAGACATAGCCAGAATCTGGGAGGCCCTTTGGAAATGTGTTTTGTCTTATTTTGCAAGCTCATGAACTGGAGAAGGATTTACCACCACCTGCCCCATGGTGAATAAAAAAGTTGATCTTTTAAAAAAAATAAAAAAATAAAAAAAAATTTGACTATTAAAACCAGATTTTTTTAAAAAATATAAACCTGTATTTAATTTAATAAAAACAAACCTATTTATAATTAAAATGACAATTTATGTTAAAGCCTAAATTTATTATGACCTATTAAAATAATTTAAATTAAGAAAATTTAAAAAAATAATATTAAGCAGTACATGTTTGCTGCCAAGTTTTAAAGAAAGTTATATCACTGAACTGGTTGAAGTCACTGGCAAACACCTGGAACCAGGCTTTGT